CAACGCTGTCACATATACTGCTGCGTCACCGATGATGCCGGCAACACCAACGCTGTCACATATACTGCTGCGTCACCGATGATGCCGGCAACACCAACGCTGTCACATATACTGCTGCGTCACCTCCAGGGTTACAGGTACGTGTCCATATTTCATTAGCCGGTTGGGTTAATGAAATATAGACATGTAACTCTAACCCTGGAAGCGACGCAGGGGGCGCTGATGACAACGAGGGTAGGGGGCGCTGATGACAATGAGGGTAGGGGGCGCTGAACGACGACGAGGGTAGGGGGCGGGGCGCTGATGACAACAAGGGTAGGGGGTGCTGAACGATGACGAGGGTAGGGGGCGCTGAACGACGACGAGGGTAGGGGGCGGGGCGCTGATGACAACAAGGGGAGGGGGTGCTGAACGATGACGAGGGTAGGGGGCGCTGAACGACGACGAGGGTAGGGGGCGCTGAACAACGACAAGAGCCGGGGGCGCTGAACGACGACAAGGGTAGGGGGCTCTGAACAATGACGAGGGTAGGGGGCGTTGAACGACGACGAGGGTATGGGGCACTGAACGACGACGAGGGTAGGGGGCGCTGAACAACGACGAGGGTAGGGGGCGCTGAACGACGACGAGGGTAGGGGGTTCTGAGCGACGATGAGGGTAGGGGGCGCTGAACGACGACGAGGGTAGGGGGCGCTGAGCGACAACAAGGGTAGGGGGCGCTGAGCGACGACGAGGGTAGGGGGCGCTGAACGACAACAAGGGTAGGGGGCGCTGAGCGAGGATGAGGGTAGGGGGCGCTGAACGACGACGAGGGTAGGGGGCGCTGAACGACGATGAGGGTAGGGGGCGCTGAACGACGACGAGGGTAGGGGGCGCTGAGCCACGACAATGAGGGTAGGGGGCGCTGAACGACAACGAGGGTAGGGGGCGCTGAGCGCCGATGAGGGTAGGGGGCGCTGAACAATGACGAGGGTAGGGGGCGCTGAACAACGACGAGGGTAGGGGGCGCTGAACAACGACAAGGGTAGGGGCGCTGAACGACGACGAGGGTAGGGGGTGCTGAGCGATGATGAGGATAGGGGGCGCTGAACAACGACGAGGGTAAGGGGTGCTGAACAACGACGAGGGTAGGGGGTGCTGAACAACGACGAGGGTAGGGGGCGCTGAACAACGACGAGGGTAGGGGGCGCTGAACGACGACGAGGGTAGGGGGCGCTGAGCGACAACGATGGTAGGGGGTGCTGAACAATGATCGAGGGTAGGGGGCGCTGAACGACGACGAGGGTAGGGGGGCGCTGAAAGACAACAAGGGTAGGTGGCGCTGAGCGACGATGAGGGTAGGGGGCGCTGCATGGCGGCAACACTCACGACGAAGGCCTCGCGGTTCTTGCGCTGCTGCCGCTTGACTCGTCGCCGCATCGCCTCCTGCTCCTCCTCCTCCTCCTTCTCTATCATCTTAATGTGGTCCTCAAAGCAGATGAGGGCATCTTCCTTGTCCATGGCTGGTAAAACAACGAGCAGACGCATGAGTCCGCAACACCGGATTAAGACAAGTCACATGATACTGTCTACGTTACATTGATTAATGTAATGTCTGTCCACCCACCCTCCCCGAGCGTACACACTAACCCACCTCATGATCATAATGTCACCCATACAGTTTCAAAAGAAAACCCTCAGGTATTGTCCTCACCCTCTCCCCCTTCCC